TTTTAAGTCGTGATGTCATTAGATGTAATTACCTGATACGTCCTTATTTTCATACCTTTCAGGCTGTAACGTGTTTCCTTGACATCAAGACGATTAGCTAGAGGCCAGCCCTTGTTTTCTTTATTTATCCATTTAGGAAGCCTTTTTGGGCGAGTTAATGCTTGATGGAAAAGAAGTGAAGAATAATATGGCCTTTTAAGCATAAGGAAAGTTTTCTCTTATCGTGTTTGCGATTGTGCAATTATTGTGGGCCAGTCTTAGCAGTCGCCAACTTCCACTATAAATTTTCATTCGATCGTTTGAATTCTTGGTCGTAATTTTTTGTTCGTCCTTGCATAGTAAATGGCTACATATGAGTAAGGGCAAGGGAAATTAGTGTGTTTGGCGGAGCCCAAGGGGTTTAGGAGTTCGTTAACTGGAACTATATTTGTAGAGCCCATAAATGCGTGAAACAAACAACATCGAGTTGGCGTGAATTTTTTCATCAAGACTTTAGCCACACTTGATTTAAAACGTTGCTTAGCACAATATCACAATGACTTTGATTGCGTGCATTGATTATGTTGATGTTTCCGTTATATTTTGGTGAGAGCGCGAGCGTGATGCGGCTTTCATACAAGAATTTGCAAGAACACGATGAAACCAGTGGGAAATAGAAATTGCTCAATACGTCGTTCATTAGCGTAACAAAACTTTTATGGTCTCCTAGCTCTCAGCTATCTCTTTCATCTCATCAGATACAATTAGGCACCTATAAGCGTCGGGCTTATGTCTTCTTATAAATATATTGTCATCTTGAAAGGTGACTGATGCACTATAAGGCAATTGTTAGCCAATTTTTGGAGGCGTTCCTTATTTAAGGACCTCTTAGCACAGTGCAGCGGAGCGCGTGTGTTTATCTGTGAATGACAAATCTCCTGAAATGTTTGCTATTAGAATGGACCTGCATTTAGTTAGGCACAAGGCGAGCTCCGCGTTTATTTGGCAAACTTCTTTACATAATACTATTCAGTCCATTAGGAGGTACCCATTAACGTTCCTGAAACATTTGTCAGTCTTCAGTAAAACGGGGTCAAGGTTTATTACAGAAGAATTCAAGGTTTTAAGATGGGCGTGATAACAGTCAGTCCCTGTCGTCTTGACATGTGCTCAGTTTCACAGACATGATAAAAATTACATTGCACTACTTTATTTTCACATTCTCCCGTGCCATTCCCTATTCACGTGCCCTCTATGACGTTTCTAATAGACTTGACAATAAAAGGGTTATGTGTTATTATATTAAGTGATCTGGTATACTCTACTCAGTCACTGTAGGGTTTGTTTGCTTTTATTTCTCTCGAGCCTTTTTGTGGCTTCCTGGTCGTTGACTGAAAAATAGCAGGGGATTGTAGTTCTTTAAGTACCCTTCGAGTGATACAAGACTAGCAAGTCATGTTTGAAACGGTAAACGTGAATCAACGGAAGCGTAAAATCTTTGCCTAAAGCAATATGAATATTAGACGTCCATAACTGTGTGAAATAGGAGTCACTCGAAGTATCAAAACATGGGAGAACAGTGGTACTAAGAGGTTTTTCTTTCTTCTCTAAAACTTGATTATTTATTTCGAGAGACGTTATTTTTGTCTCTTGGAGTGAAAAAGAATAATTAGTCGGAAAAAAAAATCAAACTTGCCACAAATTTTAAAAGTTGGAATATTTATGAGGGATGTTAATAAGTGGTAAGTTGTCGAGTCACGAACGGAAAACATGCTTCTTAGTTCAGTAGCGTTAACTGGTAGATCTAGCTGAGTGAAAATATCGTTCTTGATTTATTTATTTGTGGCTAAAATTGGCAATAAAGTTCATATTCCTGTGCTAATTTGCTTCAAGGAGCACTTCAATGTGAAGTTGTTGAGCTCAGTGGACCGAGAACGGAAAGAAGATGTCAACTGTGGCCCAATATCAGCCACGCTGCATTAGTTTTGAAAGGGAAATGACGCCGTCTAGTCCTCGATATCCTAAGCGTGATTAACGATTATTTAGCTAATGGATGTGTATTTGAAAGAAAAGTGTGTTTCGTGTCCTGGGGCTGTTGCACAGATAGCAGTTTGTCCAGCATACATTAACAACTTTGATTTATGGCACGAAAGCTAAAAAAAGTCACGCGAGCCCAGGCTGTGATTTTAGGCGTATTGAACCGAAAGTTTCTGCGTTTCTGTTTTCTGCGAATTAAGACGTGTTCTGTGGCCGGATATGACTCAAAAAGTATTCACAGAACGAAGAAAAGAATTGAGTGTTTCTTGTCGTTGACGCGAGCGTGGATCACGGCACGTGCTTCGAGTTCTTTCTTAGAATGATGGTTTTCGTTGGTATCTACTTGCACGCTTTGAGAGTGGGCTAAATTGGTATTTATCAACGGGTCCTCTCGCTTTGAGTTGCTGATTAATTTTTGTTTTGCATTGTCAGTTGAATTGAATACCCGTGGAATAGACTGGAGCGGTCATCCAGTGTATACACAGTATAAATGACGATAGCCATCTTGTCGACAAGTAGGTGGAAAAGGCGGAGTTAGTTACTCCAGAGACAAAGATCAGTTGCATTGATAACAGGATTCAGATCAGATAAGTGGGCTTAAAAGAAGTACAGAACGAATTGAACCAAACGATGGCCGTGAAGAATTGTTTATTGCTCTAAAAACACTTTGATTAAATTAATATTTTGAGAGGATTCGTCATTCCTAAAAGCGTATTTTGAAACTATTTTTAAGGAAATAGTGCGTGTCAACGCAGACGTTCTTTTCGTGACCT